CAGTACCATACCGAAGGGTAAGAGCGAAGACTATCACCCCTGTTATCAACTTCGTACGGTAGTACTCGTAAAGTACTACTAGTAGTATGAATGAGCTATGAGCTTGAAACATGCTGTTGTTTAKCAGCGTTACGATTTACGATATCGTACGTACGTACCAAAACTTGTACGTAAGATTCTTAGGATACATTCTTATTTCATAWTTACATTAGTCGAATGGGTCATTTTTCTTCGAGCGTCTTAGCGCTTCCTCAAAAATAATGCAAAAATCAAGAACAAACTACATTATCAAAGCGAGCAATGAATGTAATCCGACTCCAGATTTTCCCCAAGTTAAGTCGAAAAATAGTTGTGGTGATAATAACCGGTCAGATCGTCTATCCAAACGTCGATAAATAGTCGAAAGGACCATCGGTACTCAGCAAACATGTACTTAACAAGATCAGAATACGATCGCGGTGTAAATACCTTTTCTCCCGAAGGTCGTCTCTTCCAGGTGAGTAATGATACGGCTTGTTGTGCCGCTGGTTTTTGAATTGCGCACTCGCACAAACTCCCCAAGCATTATCTACAAAATCGTTTCGACGTGTTTTGCCTATGCACATCAGTATTAATCCTATTGCGCATCTCATCGTACCTGCTACTTGGTCATCTTTGTCCTTCAAAGGTTGAATACGCCATTGAGGCCATCAAATTGGGATCGACCGCTGTGGGGATTCAAACCAAAGATGGATCCGTACTGGCTGTCGAAAAACGTTTGACATCTCCTCTACTAGATCCTGACAGTGTTGAAAAGATTGCAGAAATCGACAGCCATATTGGTGCCGCCATGAGTGGACTTGTCGCCGATGCCAAGACTCTAGTAGATCACGCTCGAGTTGAGGCGCAAAACCACACCTTCACTTACGACGAACCTATCGGTGTAGAGCCATTGACACAAGCAGTTTGCGATTTGGCCCTGAGTTTTGGTGAAGGAAGTGATGGAGATTCTTCTAAACGAATGTCTAGACCCTTTGGTGTGGCTCTTTTGTTGGCCGGATACGATGACTTAGAGGGATCCCAGTTGTACTTCTCGGACCCAAGCGGAACCTTTGTCCGATACAAGGCAAAGGCAATTGGAGCTGGAAGCGAGGGAGCCCAATCCAATCTTGAGGAGTCGTACTCTGACTCGATGACCTTAAAGGAAGCTGAAGAGCTTGCACTGGGTACATTGAAACAAGTCATGGAAGAAAAGATATCCACAGACAATATCGAATTGGCACGGGTCACGCCCGAGGGATTTCAGATTGTGAAGCACGAAGAAGTCGCAGCAATTYTAGAGCGGTTGACTACGGGGTGATCTAGTTGATAAGGAAGCGCTTCTTGCGCCTCAAAATACAGTAATATAAGAGAAATATACGATGCAGTCAAAGAAAGCATTGTTTTCTAGGCGAATATTAGAAGTTAATCAGACGATTGCAACTTTGTGTTTCTATTCATAATTCCAACACACAAAATTTTTGCAAGGAAATTTGCTTCGTAGAACACAGCGGTTTCTTTCAGACAAAACTTTGTCGAGAAGATTGAATTTGATCCAGAATACAGATTTTTCGATTTCATCACCCTTGGGAAGATGTTTCTTTCTCTTTTTTTTTCTTCTTCTTTTTCTTTTCACTATTTTTTTCGTCTTTCTTTTTCTTCGACTTTTTCGACTTCTTCTCTCGACTCGGATGAGAGTATAGTTGTTGTTGCTGCTTTCGCACCATAGCTTCTGCCTCTTTTTGGGCGGCAGCAATTGCCGCCGCTGCCGCTTCGCTGATGCCGCTAGAGGAAATAGGTTTCGCATATGGCGGCGGTTGCGACGGTGCTCGCCCATTGCGTTGTCGTGCTTTTGTCGTAGAAGTAATCAATATAGATTGCGGGATTTTTTTATCCRTATTATTCCTATCCATGGATACTGCGGTATCCGAGGATGACTTTTGAATGGAATCCTCTTGTCGATTAAGGGTTCCGGTTAGAGGTGCATTGATCTCCTCGTCATAATCCTTCATGCGAGCTGATGCAATAATGTAAGCACTATCTTCATCGTCATCTTGCCCTGATTTCTGCATTGATGGAAAAGTACACTGAATCATATAATCGTCGTCATCGTTATCCGTTCCGTCATTTACAGGCACGAAATTCATCATTGAATCATTGCCGTCATCGACATGGTCTTCAATTTCATCATTAGCAGGTGTTGAATTCTCTGCATATCTACCACTTTCTTCCTGTCCTTTACTCGGAATCGCAGAATCAACCATGTAATCTTTACTATGATTTTCRTGTTCGTCTAATTCATTCTTCGTAGGTTTGGAAACACTTAAACAGTCACCATCATCATCATCGTCATGTTCTTCATTCATATGTGTGAATTCAGCCATGTATGTTTTGCAGTCATCGTTGTCACCTTCCTCATTATCATTCGCACGTGTCGGACGAATCATATAAACATCACCATTGTTGTCTTGCTTTTCTTCATCCAAAGGTGTGGATCCAAGCATGGAAATATCGATTTCATCGTCATCATCTTCCTTTTTGTCATTCGCACGTCTCGAACCAATCATGTAATCATCGTCGCCGTCATCTTCTCCTTTTTCGTTCACAGATGCGGAAACAATGATGCAATTGTCGCTGTCGCTRTCGTCGTCATCTTCATTATTCGAATGTACTAAAGCGATCATGTAATCGCCATCGCTGTCTTCGCCGTCTTCGTTGCCATCGCACAATTTTTTTCCCACAGATTGCTCACAACGGATCTCAGTTGCATCCTTTTCATCACTTGGTTCTTTGTCGACCTGTCTGGTGACGACCAAGGAATCGGTTGTATCAACGCCGTCGTCATTATCTTCACGACTTCGTAGAGTACCATCTGCGAGGTCTCCGCTCATAACTCTAACCGTCGATATTGCGCCAACGGTAGAATAGGCAACAGTTCCATTATCCAAGTCCACACCAGTAGCATCATTGGAATCTTTTCTATTGCGATGATGAATGTCACAGTCATCAATGGTGACATCAGCATCTTCGGTTTCGGCAACACGGTCAATCGCTTTATTGTCGATAGTATCAGCCTTGATATCATTACCGTCATTACCAATATTATCAGAATTCTGCAAAATTGATTTATTTTCGACATCATTTCCCAACAAGTTGTTTGTATCACTTGAAGTATTGGAGACTRCAATTGCACCCTCCTTCTCTTTTGAAAGTTGTTGCTTTTCCTTTATTGCAGGTATTGTTACATGTTGCTGCGGTGCCACCACTTCTCTTGCCTGTTCGACGTCTTCCTGCTTTTTCTCTCGTTCAGTTCTTGATTTTGCTACCTTGGTAGATATTTGTTGACAGTTCTGTCGCTCTACTGTTTGTTCTCCGCTCTGCTTGGCTAYAGCATTTGCATTTCGAATTGCGTTGGTTCTTTTCTCTTTTCGTAACATCCTCTCCTTTGTTGCCGACGGTTCTATGGTTGTCGCCCTTTCGTTCAAAGGATTCGCAACATCATGATCATGATCAGATGAATTCGCCATCATGTGGTTTTCTTGGTCAAGCTGTGTAACATCAGATGATGATTGGTTCAAGGCATCATGTTTTACAAAAGTTTGTGATGGCGATGAAAGTATTTGGGCCTGTTCATTACCACTTCTATCGTCATCAGAAGAAGCAGAGAAAGAGTTCGAATTGGGTCGCGATTGCACCATAATTCTTTTATCTCGACCCGGACCAGCGRTTGCCCGCAGTGCGTTTGTATTTTTTTGGCCATGTCTTCTATCTCCATTTTCGTCGTAAAAGAAATCATCGTCGCTGTCATCGTCCGAGGAGGAGGAGGCAATTCCAACCATATTTTTTGAAGATATTCCATCCATGCGATTGGCSGGTATTTTTTGATCTTCCTCATCGCTGCTGCTGGCAAGAAAAGCTTCCAAAGCATCCTTTCCTATTCGAGACGGCGATGTGCTACCGGCATTGTGCTGTCGTCGGAACTGTCGTAAATTGAGATTTCTAGTAGACGACTGATGTTTCTCTTCTTTTTCGTCTTGAGGCTGTCGCTTTCTATGATTTATTGCTTCTTTGTCGTTATTATCTTGTTGCTGTTGTTGAGACGTCCGGCCACTTTCTTCTTGTAATATTTCCTTCTTAAATTCATCGTATCTCATTGGTTTTGACTTGGAATCATTCTCTTCAACTAGCTGTATTTGATTCCGAACTATATGAAGTTTCCTTTCTATATCTCTCCGACCACGTTGTAGGTAGGCACGATATATGAAACGATGCAAACCATCCAATCCATAACAGTTCAAAAGACTTGTATCAAACACCTCTATAACTCTCGTATGCGCAGGTGCGTTCCTTGCTTCGAGCGTTTTGTTGATGAAACGTTCCATGCCAGATCTTGATACTACTTCGTTGTCGAATTCCTTCGCTTTCTCATCATCCTGAAGATCACGGAAGTTGAATAGAATAGCAATGCAMAATGCTTCTATTACAGCATCGCTATTGGAGTTTGGATTTGCAGCGCTGGTGCTACGACTATCACCTGCCTTTTCTCTGCCCTCTTTATTGAAGGTGTGTCCTGGTACTTGTTCTACTTGCCCCGATCGCTCCAGATAAGAAAGCACCACCYCCTCCACATAGGTTTGTGCAGTATCTCGCGAGTCGTTTGGATTGATCATTATGACCAGAAAGTCAATATTGTTTCCTGAAAGGACCTCGTCGCCATCGAATCGCTCCGTAGATCCGATGCGAAGTTTAATACGGTCCCATGTTGGGCATTCTTTAGGGGGTTTGTATGGTATTATAATTGAAGGATTTGATTTTTGATTGTTTTTTTCGCTTGTCTCGTTGCTACTATTTTCGTTTGGTGGATGTTTTGGAAACACCACGAACGGGTCGACTCCTCTAAGACGACTTAGAAGCGTCCTCTTCCCTGTTTTTGGACGTCCCACGACCAATCCTTCCATTCGTATGATCGGCTTGGTTTCTCGGGGAGCACGCCGCCTCCGCGGCGGTTGTGATCTTAATGCAACGTTTCCATTCTTTGAGTGTGGCTGGAATCTTATATTTCTAGGCTTTGCTGATAGGACAGGTTCTGGTTCGGTCGCTATTGCATGGGAAGGTCTGGTAGGAGAGGGCAGCGTCTCGGCGGGAGTTTCGTCGTAAAAGACAGATTCGGTTGTCCCCATGGCGACAGAAAATTATAGAACCAAATCCGTACGTTCCAAGGATGCTTGATCGGTCTTCTGTTTGTCTATTCTAAAAAGGAGCTGGCTTGAAGGGCAAAGTTGTAAATTCCGACAGTCTTCATCAAATCTGAAATAATATTCGATTAGGATACCATGTCTTGTTCCTCGACCGTGCGAGTACGAGTGCTCGTTCTCTCTTCAGTTCAAGAACTAATGGTATTTGTATTTTTACTATGGTAGTACAGAAGTACGTAAAAATCCGATAGTACTGTATTTTAAGTACTGAAATTAAAGCACTAGTAGTTTTTCACGAAGAGATCATGGTCGATTCTCAGAGTAACAGTACGGAACGCAACGCGAAGATAACGTAACGGATGATTTTGATGAAAATCTAACTTTTCCCTGAGCAACAAAGAAAGACTTTTGCTGTACCCTTTTTGAAAGTTTCAGTTTTTCAGGGCATCTGTTATGTCTACCGGTACTACGGGTACTGGTACTCTATCCAGTCACTAAAAAATCGATTGGTGAGCAGATCGACCGAGGTAAGAAAATCCACTCGTATTTTAATAAAWACGCTCAGGCCGGAACAAGAARGGGAAGGAAAACAAGAACCATCATGGCAAGTGCAGCAATCCAAGCTCAGGCAAACGCCCTGAATGCTAAAATGGAGGGAGAGGCATCCAAGATGTTGGACGAGGTAGAGCGCGTTTGGATGAGAAAGGTCGCAAAACAATCGTTTGCGTGCGCCGTGAAGTGCTACGACAAGGCTGGGACAAGCGGACCTGCAGAGTCCTTAGAAGCGTGCACAAGAAGCTGCCAAGCACCCTACCAGCAATCTAGCAATTTGGTTCAACAAGTAAGAACGAAATGTCGAACGATATACAGGTCCACGTTCACTGCTTTTTGGTTTCGCCCCTGACGGAAGTGGCTGGAACCAAAAACTTCGCAAAATTCTACAAAGGAATATAACCTGTCTCTTGTTTGAGGATAAATACCACTCGCATTGGAGCACCACATCATTGTTTTTTGATTGCTCCGAGAGCACGTTTATTGTTTCTCAATCGCTGTAATCTGTCTTCCGTGCAATTATATACAATATAGGAGGTGGCCCAGTTTCAGAATCGTTTGAACCGAAACATGCAAGAATGCCAAGAAAAGGCCCGGGATATGATCAGGCCTGGAACGGAAAATGATTCTTACGCGATGTCGAAGGTAGAAACCGCTTTGATCACATGCATGGAGAAGCAAGTGAATGAACACATCAAGTTGCTGAATCCAATGAAGGAAAGGTGCGTTTTGCGCGATCGTCGCTTCTACATCTGTAAACGTGTGCACTCGTCCGATCGTTGCGTCCCATCGTTGTGTTCATTCCTTACCATACACGTTAGGCATGCATTTTGTTGCTGGGTTTCGATTTGATGCCTACCTCTCGTTCCGAATAGGACAGTGTACTACATAGTCGATGTATTTTACTCATATTTTTTGTTGTTCTGACCTTAATTTTGTGAACTTATTGAATAAATATTGGAATCATAGAATCACTTCGGTACTAAAAAATTACCAATAAACCCAATTCTTAAAGTTATAAATTGGTCAACCAAAACGTTAAAGACGAAACAAAATCTATTGTGATGAAAGACCTACCAATTAAACTAGGAACTAGCAAACTTTCAATAGAAAACCCACACCTCCCCTTGTTGCTGCTGTGTTTATCCGGCTCAATACCAATATTCCTGACTTTTTTGGAGAGTTTTTTGGGATGCAGAATAATATACTTGGAAAGACGGCCTAATCTTCCAAGTGCTTTAGTAGAAAGAACGCATTCTGTTTTTTCTTGTTCTATGGAACCTTGCATTGAGATATGGTTTTTTGAGTCCAGATTTAAGCTAATGATTCTTATTCTGGTGCCTTCTTAGATTTTCCACTTGATCATCGATCGTTAGAGAATCTGTAGTAGGCACATGGGTTGTGTGGTGAAGGGGATTGTTGTAAGTAACTGCTTGCTCTAAGCCACCCTCAGAGCAAAACGTGTAGATTTGTGCAATGGATACGTACGTACATACTGTATCGGAAGTATACGTATGCACTGTATTGGAAGAAGCATACGTACATACAATGCTCCCTCGGAATGGATGGACATACCATTCCTACCTACATATCATAAGGTACTATTCATATATATATATATATATATATATCATACGATCCATTGTACCGAGAGGTCTAAGAATACGAGGTACGATCGAGAACACCTTACGAAGAACAAAGATGTCCTCATGAGTCCGCAATAGGAGAATCCTCATGTACATTCAGTACCAGATCTACAGGAGGATCTAATCAGAACTTTGGAATTCTCGTGAACGCGCTTGGTAATCTCCGATAATCTTAATCTTAAAATTCAATTTTATACACACTTAAAACTCCTACTAAGAGTACACGTAATCTCGTGCACAGTAATTACTACCCGTTTTTCATGTATCAAATTTAATCAACCATTAAGAAAAACAACCAAAAAAGAGAATCGACCATGGTGAAACCAATCAAAAACACCAACTCCTCTTCACGAAATCAATATTCATATCAATCATGCCTCAGCCTCGAGAATAAATTCAAGAAGAGTGACATTGAGAAGGTTACCCTTTTTGTGGATCATCCAGCCAGAACAGAGACCACCGGCGGAAGAGGAGCAAATCTAAGAACAACTGAAATCCCTGCTCTGAGACTGAAAAGAAACTGCTCAGTCTTCTCCAGACRATATGGAGTACAGGAATTGTTCTATATTCAGGAAGACTTTGAGGATGCAATARACAATTTGAAATTGATGGACAGACAGATAGATGAGAAGTGGGTAATGGTCCTGGCCCATCGACCGAGACAGAACTGGAATAACATGTGGAGAGGCACTGACAGATTGAGAATAGGGAGAAACACCAAAGAGCAATGGAAACAGGCCCTCATCTCCTTCAGAGAGTTCTATGCASCGTCGAAGCGAGCCAGAGACGAAGCAATTGCATACTTACAGTCGGATGCCATAAAAAAGCCCCATGGAATCACATGTCAAGCCCATGCGGAAAGCATTCTCATTTGCTGCAACAGAGCCAACCGCCTACATGGTATCAGGAATCCCTCATCCAAAAGAGAGATCAAGGAGATTCCTTTCTACTCTTTCCCCAATGCTTGGCAAGATAAATATATCAGTTGTGGGAAAGATATTCTAGAAGATTCACCTCAGCAAATAGTTAAGTTCATGACAGACCAGAAAGGACTTGCAGACAAAAATGAAAGGAAACAATTGAGGAAAAGACCAGCAAATGAAACAGAACACRGAGGAAGAAGTGGAAAGCAACGAAGATGCAATACCAATGGCAACACTAACAGCAGCAGCAACGACCAACAGAATGAAAGACAGAATAAAATCAATGCAAGCCCCTGCAGGAAACACAATGGAGAGCATATGTGGGGACAGTGCCCTTTCAACCGGAAGGGTAACAACTACCAAGGAGACAGTCGGCAAAATAACAATCAAGGGAACAACCAGGGAAGCTCTAATGCAAGCAGGAAATTTACACMAGGTACCTACACCGTCTGCATCGATGAACGTGGCCAGTTCACCCAAATCCAACAACAGTCTCCAAGTCAACCCCAGACTTATCAGCTTACACAAACACAGAATGGATCCAGCTCCAGTGATCCTCCAAGCCATGTCTCCCTACAATCCAACAGCAACGCAGGATTGACAGCCCGATCAAGGACCTAACCAGCAATGGTGACCGAACCCAATAGCAGAAGCAGAAGCATTCTTTGCATTACCTCCAACACCATCTACTCACTCATCTGAAAAGAGCCTTGAGTTCTTCGGTCTTGATAATGAAGAAGCTCTTAAGAATCCTACAGCAGTCACCTTGAGAGCTCTGAATCCAGATTCGCTACCAGCAGTCATTCTTGTCTGCAAATCAATCCAAGACCTACCAACGATGCATACATTCAAAGTTCTTTTGGACAGTGGAAGTACCATGTGTCTTATTCAAGAGCGCTGCCTTCCACCAGGAACAGTCCCTTTCACAGATGAGGTCAGTTCAGTCACCACAACAGCCCAAGGAAGCTTCGATACATCAAAGTATGTCTTCATATCTCAAATTTGATTACCAGAGTTTGGCAATGGCAAATACATAAGAGGGATCAATGCAAGGCTCTTCTCAGCTCCTTGCAGTTACAATATGATTCTTGGAAGAGACTTTCTCCAAATGACCGGAACAGACCTCTGGTTGGATTCAACCATAGATATGAAGCCAGTAGATCATTTCAATGACCCCCAGCAAGTGGCAGAAGCCATGTGGCTGGCAGAGGATGATGAACTCTTAGATGGAGGTTTCTTAGTAGAGTTTCATCTACTCCCCCCAAGCTGCCGACAACAAGACTGCAGACRTGCAGCCAGCTTGGACAGTTACTTAGTAGCAGCAGGTGCTGCCAGAGCTACTGGAGGAACAGAGCTCAATAAAAAACTTGATGCAAAATATCAACGAGTGACTCCAGAAGAGGTTGCCAACCATCAGGAGCATATGGACAAATCAGAAAGACTAGCATTCCAGGAGATGCTAGCCAAACACACGGAGTTGTTTGATGGCAAACTTGGCAGGTATCCTCATGAAAGGATCCGCATCGATCTACTAGACGATGCCAAACCAGTTTATATAAGACCATATCCAGTCCCCTACAGACACGAGGATGTCTTCAAAAGGGAGTGCCAGCATCTAGTYGATGAAGGAGTGATTGCTCCTACAGGCAATTCAGAATGGGGCTTCCCAGCCTTTATCATTCCCAAAAAGGATGGACAAGTCAGATGGCTTGTCGATCTCAGAGAGTTAAACAAGAGGATCAAGAGACCTCAGTTTAATCTCCCCAAAATCGTCCAAGACATCATGAACCRAAGAAAACAGGAGTATGATCACTTCACTAAGAAGATTGATCTATCCATGATGTTTTACTGCTTTGAACTGGACGAGGAAAGCCAGAAGATGAGCAGAAAAATGAATCAATGATACGAGGAGTAGTGGCTATTCCTCRAAAAGTTCAGAACTACTAATGATACCACCAGCACTAGTAGTAGAACTGGTGGCCAGTCCGGAAAAACGGAAAAACCGAAAAACGTTCATTTGCGGATCGTGACTCACATTATCCAAGAACTACGTCATCGGTTATCTATCAACATGTTTCGGTGCTCGTACGTTGGTTTCGTAGGTACCAGGTAGTACGGTAAATATCATTCATCGCAAACCGCCAAAAATCTTTTCCTCATGCTATCTAACATCCCCTGAGAGTATTACGTAGTACGTACCATAGTCGGCTCAATAATCGGAATACTCTCACAAGAATAGACAACCATAGTTCACATCCCCTTACATAAATATTTCCTATCATGATGAATTGTGCSAGAATACTTTCTGTCGTCTGCATTGTCTCCCATCAGGCGATGGCACTGGCATTTCTACCGGTACCCTCGAAGGTTCCTGGGTACCGAATGCCTTTCAGTTTGTTTGGAAGCATTGCCGAGAGGGTACTTGAAACTCCGAAATGGCCCGAAGAATGGCCTTACAGCCCCGCGGACTTTTCTCGTCAGGATGAGAGCAACGATGGAATCTTTTACGATTCCCCAAGACTTTGCTACCATATCGACGACGCTGCTGTCTCAGCTCTGACACAATACTACTCCGAAAATTTCAAGGAAGGCGAAGACGTCCTTGATATTTGCAGTTCGTGGGTTTCTCRCTATCCGAAAGACTTTAAGGGTGGGAAAGTTGTTGGTCTCGGAATGAATGAGTACGAGCTCAGCCAAAACCCTCAACTTACAGATTTCGTTGTGAAAGATCTAAATGAGGAGGCTAAATTACCTTTCGAGGACGCTTCCTTTGATAAAGTGACGATTGTTGTGAGCGTGGACTACCTAAACAAGCCCAAAGAAATCTTCGAAGAAATCGGTAGAGTTCTTCGTCCTGGAGGAGAATGTTTAATTTCGATGAGTAACAGATGTTTCCCAACTAAGGCATTCCGGGTGAGCACCTGTACTTCTTTAATCTTTTTTTCAAGGCATCACCCAACCCCAACAAAGTTTTTTAGCTGACTCACAACCGAGATTGATTCTTTCCTCCTAATGATTTCCTTTGACAGATCTGGCTTCAAACCAACGACCTTGAGCATATTTTTATCACAGGCAGCTTTTTCCATTACTCTGGTCTATTCGATCCTCCAAGCTGTTCAGATATCTCACCCAACCCCGGACGGAGTGACCCTCTCTACGTAGTGAAGGGCACCCGTAAGGCTTAAGTCTTCTTTTCGCACTCCTTGCGTCTCCTATAATGAATTTATTGAATTATCGAGAGGGAATACGCAATCGCCATACTACCTGTTAAGATAGAATGTTCAAATGTTATTTCATTTTCCAATACTGGTAGACTAGTACGAAATATTAAATTTCTTGCTTGAAGAAGAATGTATTCAAATTCGAACACTTAGACTTTCACTATTTCAGATGCACGAAGACACAAACTAAATTTTAGTAAATAATACTTCTAGTTGAAAGAAAAATCTTAGTTTATGTTAGTAATCTCCGCTTGGAAATCCTGAGCAAGTAGCCATGTGCTCTACTTTCTTTCCCTGGAGTGTAAAGCTCACTTTCAGTTTAAGGACCAAATTTTTTTCCCCCAACCGTGTATTTGTAACCTTAACCTTCTGTGTGACAATCGTTGAATTGTTCGCACCAGTCACCGGTACAGTAGTTGAAGATGGAGGTTCCATTTCCATGATGATGTATTTCGGAACTGCACATTGTAAATTAAACCCGTAGAGGGCATCAGGAGCTGCATTTTTGCACTTAGCAATCAGCACAGAGTTTTGTTTGTTCCACACTTCAGGTTTTAAACATTCAAATTCTATTGTCAAACCTTCATGATTAAACGCAGGGACTACGACGGACTGTGGACCGCTATTGACAGCTGGATTCATAGTTTGAGCACTCCCAGTCGATGCGGGAGTTGATCCGAACAAATCATTCATATCTGAGGAAGACGCTGGTTGTGATATTGCTGGTGGAGCGCCAAAAACATCGAGGGGATTGCTGGCTTGGAGTGTAGGTGCAGCGGCTGGCATYGCTGGTGCAGCTCCAAAAATATCGAGGGGATTTGCTGGTCCTGCAGGAACAGAATTTGATTGGGGCACCGGTGCAGAAAATGGGTCGTATCCTCCTCCTCCAGCAGCAGACGAGGCAGCAGCCGGAGCAGGCTGTGCAGCAAAAATGTCAGTCAATAGATCCATATCACTCTTCGGTGCTCCGGTACCGCTGGACCCATTTTGGGTCGGTGCAGGTGTTCCAAACATGTCATTAAGGTCTAGTAAATCTCCACCACCATCACCAGCAGGATTGTTAACGACGTCTGCATTTCGAGTCATTGGGGAGCTGCCAAAAGTATCTGACTGCTTCTTTTGAAGTACCTTTAAGTCAACTACAGGCATTCTTGAAAGGGCTTCTTTTGCAGCCTGGATGACCGAGGCACTAACTGAACCATTGTCAGCACCCCCTGTAACACCAAACAAATCTTCTTCTCCAGATGGCTTTGATATCGAAGTTTTGATTCCCTTGCAGGCATTGATTAATGAATCATATTCACATGCTCGCAGCTGAAGTTCTAGGGAATGAGACATATCGTGTTTCTTGATGAGCTTTTGGATCATTTCCAGAGCGTTTGCATCACCCTTATCAGAAAAACGATCACTAAGTTTGGCGAAAGAAGTCAAAGCACGCTCTTTGATGAACAATGGGCAGGAATGTCGTTCAACGACAGCTTGAATTGCTTTCACCACTGAAACACAATCGAGAGCTTCGAAAGTAATACTAACTGGAACACTGTTCGGTGGGTCATCACTTCTTGCCATAGGCGTGTATGTGTAAGGATTCAAAATAAGATCACCAAATTCACCGATGCACCAGATTCCAACTACCAGAAGACCTCGTTGTGTTCCATCATCATCACGAATAGCCTTAACTAGCTTGTGTGTCGCATAAGCATGAATGTCCGGGGGTGATCTTGAAATATAAATGATTGTAGCGCTCTGGACGTCGCGGGAAGCCTCTCTCCCAGCTATGGTTAACATGGTAATCAAAGTGTCCACTCGCCATCTGTCATCAGGACTAAACTTTTCGACGACTCGGAAGATACGGGTACAAATGTCCCGACGATGTTCCCGCGGGCAAAGAACCAAGTAATTCAGCAGCTCCGAAGCTAACGATTCGACATTTTCTTGGTTAACCATGTAATAAATCAGTTCAAGAGCTCGTTGTCGGATACTGATATCAGGATCTTTCAAGCAATCAACGACGGTATTTCGATGCTTCTGTAACGCGGCAGAGGCAGTGTTTGCAGAATCGGTTGGAATACTTCCATCATCCGTCTGCTGTTGTTCCACGATACATCTCGAGAGAGTGTTCAAAGCAACGTATCGAATGTTGTTATCACGATTCAGCAAAAATCGACCCAGAATATTGACTGCGAGCACACGTAGCCCGTCTTCGCTTTCTATTCCCATTACGGTCTGAACACATTCGTATAAAATGGCATTCCCTGCGTTCTTTGACGAGTCCGTGTTCGTTGCGACCTGCGCGAGAACATCGTTCATTTCTTCAGATGCCTTCTCGTTCTTGGCGCCTAGCAAACGAAGAAGCGTCAATAATTGAACCTGGAGGAACGGATCAGAAATACCTGCCACTTCATATTCTGGAGAGTATCCAGAACCCAAAAGATTCCGCAACATTTTGACCAGCATGGGCACCAATCGAAGAAATGCCTTCCGGCAGTCGGTATCGAATGGGTTTTCGCCCTCTTCTTCCGCATTTTTCAAATCGATCATAAGAACCTGGGTCATCAACTGCACTACTGTGATGAGAACGCCGTGGTTCTTGTCTTTCAACAATGTTACAACGCGATCTACAAAATCTTCTACCATGTCAGGACATTTTGTAAGACACCGAGCCATCGCGAGGTTTGCTTTCTTTCGCAAGTACGGCATACCTGCTTTAAGATGCTTATCTACCTCCGGAGCTAAATCTCTGGACATGTCTGGTGTTGCAAGGTTACCGATCGTACAGAGAGATAATCCTGCAATGAACTTGTTTTTGGAGTTCAAGTCATTTTTGAGTGAATTTGTGGACAACATCAAGACGTCTGCTTCTTCGGATAACAACAGCATCATTCCTAAGTAGCCAATGCGCTTTTCGGGAAAGTGAGGTGATGCGATAAGCTTTAAGCACTCCAATTGACCAAAGTGTGTAGGGTATCCTGCAGAAAGAACAACGAATCGRACGCAAAATTAGACAGATTCCATCGTAAAAATTAAAATTAGCCGTAAAAAACGCGCAGAGGCGCAAGAACTGCAACGACAAGAAGGGGATGGATCTTTCTGATGTATCCTATGTCAAAAACTTGTCTGAAGTTTCCAGATATTAGTGACCATGACTCCCGCTACGTACCTAACATGTGCATAAACAAGAGCTTGGCTACATTGCGGTGCCGATAGTGTTCTTGCTCCTCACGAATTGCGGTACGAATCATTGCCGATTCCTTCGCAATGACCGCACGCTCTTCGGCGGCGGTTTTGCATGCCCGCACCTTGCGGATCAGATCCCGCAATTTCAATGACATCTTTTTATGTTGTCGCCTGTCACCTTCAGTATTTCGAGAAACTCTTTAAAGTAATTGTTATCGAAACGTTCGCTCTCTTTGTCCTTGTCACAAATGGCTTCTCTCTTCGTGATGCCGAAAACGAGCAGCCAACGAGATCTACTGAATGCAAATGCGTAATGCAGCTGATCCTCGTACTCGTACGAATACTCCTACCGGTACTCGTAAAGGTAAGCACGGTACAAAAAGGGGATCGCCATGATACAGCGTACCGGCTGCTACCATATTTTCACGCCTTCTCATGCGCAAGGCTCAAAATGACAACTACAGTACGGTAATGTATCGTCTATTCAAAGCCGCTTGCTACGTCCAGCCGTCATCCGATGAAGAGTCATAATGTTATCGCACGAATGACCTATCGAAAAATAWTTTTTGACTGTAGTACGTACGTACGTACGTATCATAGTACCGTACCATGCACCATACTAGCGTAATAATGGGTGATTCCCGTTATTCTAGAATCTCTAGATTTGATAGACAGACAGACCGAAAATTTAGTAAAAATGACTCTAGACTTGGCGCGTTTAGAACTGGTCCAACCGACCCATCCTAAATACTCTACATTTAGAGAGGAATCCAAGAATAAAAATTTCGAGTCCGTTGAGGGACTCCTAGAAGATTCAACAGAAAGCCCGCCAAAATTAAGACTCCGTTGGTGTTATACCGGTAGTAAACAACAAGAGCAACAAGCAACAACAAGAAGGCGGCAAGAGCAACAAGCAACAAGAAGGCGGCAAGAGCAACAAGCAACAAGAAGGCGCCTGGTGCATTCACAATGGCGCCTCCTCTGTTTAGAAGAAGAATGCCGGCGCAAAGGCGCCTGTTCCACCATACAAAAGAATGTCCTCTCCCGTTGATTTAGTTGCTATTTMYTRSTRKTAYTACT